AAGAGTATACTTAACTGGGCCTCTTCTCTAAAAGTCCACGCCAGTGCACGCAGTGAGCTTGACAAATCTTACATTCTTTGAAAAGAGGTGGCTTCTTTATCTGTCAAATAATTGAATTAGCCTTAAGAAAAAAATAAATTTGATACAATTGCTAAGAATTCAGGGGCAGTTCAAAATGTGCATTTTGTTACCAAAATTTTCATCATTTGTTTGAGGCAGGTGGCAGAGGCTCTGTCATCTCTAAAAAGAATTTCAGCATTGTATTTGGTGTTTTGCCTACTGGCTTTCTGGGCTGTGCTACAGACTCACCCAGAATGCTAAGACAACCCCAGAGTGTTTGTTTAAGCTGGTGTCCTTGCAAGAATATTTTAGAAACTCTCATTTCACCATAGTTATAGCAATGGTAAAATATAGTCTCCTTTCCCCAGGCAAAGAGATAGCTTACAGTATAGTTACGTTCAAAAATCATGAAATCTTATAAGAAAAAATATGTTGATGTTATTGATCTAATCTCCATGCCTTTAGTACTAGCATGTCAAAAGTTAGGAAGGTATCTTTGGAAAATGTGTTTACTACCAAATCTAAATGTTTGACTGTCATCACTTCCTCATTCCACTATAGAAAGAATGATCTTTTTGCTCAGATTGAAGGGGAAAATGATGCAGGATTTTTTTGCCACAATTTCCAGTAATTGATATATAGGATTCACCTCATATTCTTCAAGTGTTTTTGCCTTATTTATGTGACCTTCTAAAAAGGACATGCTGTAACAGATACATCTAACACATCTGGGATGTGTCATTCTTACAGCGTCTAGATGGACAGCTGTGAATCTACTGGGAGAGCAAATGAAGCTATAGCCATCCCATTAGTGCTGCTAATTACATTATTTATGCTTCCAGTTGCACGATGCTTCCCCCATTCAAATTGGGGCTGTGTCTTCCCTGCTAAAAGTGTTTTCTCTCAATCTTTTCTATTTCCAGAAATTCAATGTGGAATACATTTTATCTGTCATACCAACTGGGAAATTTTTTTCTTATCTGCAGATCTACAAAACTAATGTCTCCATAGGTCTACTGAAAGTTCCTCATGAAAAATACCTAAAGGTAAAAATTGGTGGCTCTTCCTGCCAAATTGTGGCTCTGCAAGTTTTCTTAGGTCTTCTGAGTGTAGCCAGAATGGCTGGGCTGAGGGGAGGTGACGACAGTAAAAATAAAAGATAGCTTAAAATGTGTTGTCAATACTAACACATTGTAAGTACTACAAAGCCATGCTTCTCTGAGACATTATTTGCCATCTCGTCTATTGTTTTTGTTTCTCTTTGTTGTCTGTTCTATTCATTTGTTTCCACCTCTTCAGATTAGCATAACACAGCACTCAGCATAGTAGAACCAAATGAGATCTTCAGATCCTAAAGTATAGTTAGAGATTTCTGTAGCAAGTGTCCTTTGATGGGGAGGATGTCGAATTGTATGACTTAAGGCAGCTTGCTGTGAGACAGACCTCTTCCAAGGACACTTGTTAGTCAGAATGTCTCACATGTCTCACTACTTTCTCTCACAAGTGGAGTTTCTTACCAATCTTTGGGAATAGTGGAGCTCTCCTGAGCATCTAGTCCCCCTGCAAGAAGGTTTCAGTGCTTCAAAGGACCACAGATTCTTGTCTCAAGAAAGGTCCAGAATGTGATTACCAAGACATTCCCTAATCATTACACTATATGTATTGCACAAGTCCTGTAAAATCTGCCCTGGCTGCACAGCATATCTTTGCTTTGTCTGCTTTCCCAAGGGGATAATACCTCCAGGTGGGGGTGGGGAGGCGGGGGGAAGAAATCTTTCCTGCAGAATGTCAAGAAATCTCTGGTTTGATGAGACTGGCTCCTTTCATCAAATAATGTACATGCACTGATCCTGATATATTATTGTAATGCCTCATGCTAATTTTGGTATGTGATTAAGGAATATCTGTGCACAGCTAGTGAGAAATGTGTGTGTGTTGACAAACCAGAAAAGGAAATAATTCATCCTCATTTTCTGCAGCATGCATAACGCCCGCATGTAACTCTTTCTTGCATCAGTCTTTCTGGACAGCAATGAGGTATCATCTTGCCTGGCCAGCTAAGTAGAATGAGAGATGAAGAGTATCACCCTGCACAAAGACCACTATCTCCCTGAAAGGGCGAGAAATCAATCTCTCTCTTCTGTCTTTCCGCTTGAAAGATTGGTATTCTTCAATATAACTTAACAGTGCAAGCCTATACTGCAGGGGACAGAGCTTCTGCCTGAAAGCTGTTCAATAAGTCTGCAGGATGTGGGAAACCAATAATACATGGGGGTTTTTTTGCCACAAACCACAGCTGTAAAGAGCCTCTATTTTCTACAAGATATAAAGGTCCTTATCCCTAAGGGTATTTTCCATGTTTTCCATGAAAGCAAAGCCCAGTACTGGAAAAGGCCCAGCGGCTTGATCGAATGCCTTCAGACTGTCTCTACCATCTTCCTTATGTGACTTAGCCCAAGATAAGGATTTTCTAAAAGCAGATGAGTAACTGAGGTCTGTAATCTTTGAAATTGGTCTTTCCTGGAAACACACTGTGACATCCAAAGTACTGTATCATATTTTTTTCTGAAACTATGGGCATAAATGGCATTTCAGAAGTAATACTGTCATGTTGAGAAGTAGGAGAATGACCGCCATTAAATGGCAATTTTAATTTGTCATCTCTCTCCATGATGCTTTATCGAGGTTCATTTCTAAGACAATCTCAGTTCCCCCACTGAGCAAAGCTGTCTCATCTCTTCTGTGTCAGCTTATTGCATGATAAAGGATCTTGCATTTATACAGGCCACCTGAAGCCTCTCATCAAGAGAGGACAAAAGACTGAGCTTAGTTGCTTCTGCCTGTCACTTCTGGAGCCATATCAAAAATGAACCAGGGCTTAAATGACTTACCTGAAAAAATAGGGATGGATATGAAAGAAAATATTTGTAAAGCAGGGACCTAAAAGCCCAGGTGTTCTTATTAACAGTAGAGTGTGCATGTTAGCCATTAATTTTATACTGCTTTTGACCAATCTACTCTAGCAATTTTGAATGTGAAAAAAATAAAAGGTGTCATTTCTAAAGAATTAGAAGGCATGTTTTCCCTTTGCAGTCTATCCAAATTGCTGCTGTTATTCTAAACTACAGTTACTGTAGGTTATGGGCAGTCCATACAACCAGCTATTATTCTGCCCAACTGCAGATCACTATAGTTCTGTAAGTGTGTGGATATCGCACTGTTGGCTCCACATGCATCGAAAACTCTATTTTCTTGATTGATCTTGTTGCCTTCCAATCATATATTAAGAGAAGACAACCCATTATTACAGATTTGATGTTTCACTTGCTAAGAAAAGAGTTTTAGTGGGTAAGGAACCCACTAAAGTGATGCTAAAAGTGTTTAGTGGCACTAAAAGTGCTTTGGTGAGTAAAGAACCTTTTATGTGTAATGGAACTGACCTTTAAGCTGCATGCTGCTCATCCTGTGGTACTGAATCTTCCCTTCATTGGACCCTGGACCATCTTGAAGACATCTACTTCATAAGATATTTTTGGCAATGGATCCCCTTCTGCCATGGGATGGCTTTAGTGATTTTGTTTACAAAGTAATCTGAGCCTGGAGACCTCTTGTATTTCTGCCCTGATGAGAACACCTTAGTCATAGGTAAGAAAAGCTTCATAGTAGCCTAGGAAGATAAGAAAAGGATCTGTGAGCTGAGAAACTGGAAATTTGGTAACTGCAACACAGAGACATGAGACATTGTAAGATAAAGCAGAACAGAGCTATGATGTTGCCAGAGGACTGAACAGGTGTGTTTGATTTTTGTATCTTTTATTACTTTTGGATGTGGTTCATCTTGCTTATTGCATGTGTGTTGATTATGGAAAGGTGAAGCACAAAGCAGCATATCCCAATTCAGACACTAGTAATGGGGATGTGCTACTGTTTTTTTGCAAATGCAGTGAGATAGCCAGAGGCCCTCCCAACCAAAGAGCAGGGGACAAAGACTCAGTCTGCAAAGATTGTGCTCTTTGCTGAAATATCAATGTACATTCCTGTAGTTACTGAAGCAGTGTTCCCTGCAGAGCTGTGCAGTGCACTATAGCTTGAAAAATGAGGTGCTCAGGTTCAGATCCAGGCCTCTTGCATGCATTAATAGAGCATGCTAGAGAGAAACAGGGACTATACAGATGGCCATGCATAGAATTTCCCTTTGAAGGGACAGAACTTTTTTTGTTTGTTTGTTTTTCTCTTTCTAACCATATATCTTTGTTAAAGAGAAAGTGTGCTGGGATTGTTTGCGTAAGCTTTTGTTTGTTCCTGGGAACAACAAAAGGGAACTGTTGGGAATTGTATTCAGTGCTAGCAGTGAAGATCCCACTTTTTCTTTCCTATTGTTTTCCTCAATTTGCCACCTAGTAACAGAGCTTATAGAGGACTGCTCTGTGCTTCTGATCCTTCCCACGGCCTGAGTGTCCTGAAATGTGTTGGTAAGCCTGGGCTCAGGAGTGTATTCAATCTGTTATTAACCCAATATAGGCAGTTTATCTTGTTGCTGAGTTATAGCTAAGCAGCCCTAGGAAAGCAATTTTAGCCTTAAGAAAGAGAATGCAGATCCTGTCTCATGAATCTAATTCTCAAATGTGGCTAGGAGATCTGGAAAGAGAAAGAAATTAAGTCTCTTTGACTTCAAGGATTATTGTAGCCATGAGGTTACCTGTGTCATTCTTACTGATTGGATACCCTGGGATTCAACTTCCCTGATTTCTCCATTCTCATATTATCTCCTCTCCAAGCACCCTTTAGACACCTGGCTTGGTCTCTCTGCTGCCCCTCCCTGCCACCTAGGAACAGCAGTGAACAAAGGC